TGGGATTGGGTAGCCTATAAATTCAGTCAGTAAACACGGCTTTGGTATTTGAGACCATGTAAATGCAACCTTATGATAGGTTCTGCTATTTTTACCATGATCATTGTGGCATAATTGACAATAAAATAAGGCAGATGAATTTAAGCTTCAAAGCATGTTGAAGTTTTGACTGCTAGAAAGTAAATGGGAATGGAGGCTACTCACCTTTTTTTTTTTTTTTTTTGACATTTATTGAACATTTTCAGACTTAAGTTAAAGAAACCTGAATTGACAATTCAGGAGATGACAACCTTTCGCCTTTCAGTTATTTTGGACTACAACTCCCATAATCCCTTGCCAGCCAAGGGAACTGTGGTTGAAGGCTGAGGCACAAAAAATTGGGGGGGGGGGAGACAACCGAAATCTGGCTATCATTGCAATAATCAAGTGACTGAATCTAAAATCTTAGTAGATTATAAGATTATTCATAAAATCTTTGTATCATGGATAGTACAAAGATTCATGAATATGCCCAATGGCCATAAACTTTCTCTTACCACTCTAAAGAGAGTGAGTGGGTAGGCACACCCTAAGGAGGCTTACTATACATCTTGGTTTCATTGGACAAACAAAGCTGGAACATGTTTTGAAAGAACACTTCATAAAAGGCCTCAGTGCCAACTTTGCCTATGCAAGCCTGCTTTGTCCCAGTTTAACAGCTTGAAAATGTTATTTTACCCGTAACGTGCATCCTGCCAAATTAAGGCTGTGATCCTCAGCACACAAACTTAGAAATATACATACATAATCTGACAGTCTGACCCAGTTCTGTTTAAGTTGCAGGAAGTTAAAGCATTAGTTGCCACACACCTGGAACCACTTACCACTTTTTCACTGGAATGCAGAACTCGCAGCTTCCCAAAGCGCACGTGAAAAGGTGAACAACGCAAAGAACCATCTGGTTGCCTTACCACAATGACATCAATACAGCCCGTGAGTGTGGCTGGATTCAGACCCTTGTACAGCTCCTTCACAGTGCCAAACACAGATTCAGCAATTTGGCCCACATAGTTCATTGTCTGGGTCTACAAAGAGAAAGAAGAACAAACCAAATCCTATTTAAATAAAACACTGACTGAAATCCCCGGGTTAGGTTGCATCTCCAAACAACAGTTTCTGAGGTTAAGAAACTGTATCCTTCCAGACATTGATGAAACACTGAATGCTTACCCTCTCTCACAAACTTCCCCAGACTCCCAGGTTTTCAGCATTATTCCACAGCAAAAACCTATCCCAGATGCCATTGGCCAAAATCAGTAAACCTTAAGCAACCTCAGGCTGCTTCTCCCAACTCTGGTTCTTTTTTCTTTTTTCTTTCCCCGCCCCACCCCGCCCCGCCCACAAGTTTCTTCTGGGCCTGTTCCTTTTATCAGTGGAGTGTCCTCTTCCTCTAGCTTGTTAGAGGTAACAATGATTAAAATGGCAAATAAGCAGCCTTAGCCAGTTGCCCCCATCTGCAGTTTAGGCTTGGCTATTTTCATTGTCTCCTGGGCCAAAGGAGGGAGGGAGGGAGGGAGGGAGGATTTCCGATGCCCCCTGCCAGCTTCCCACAAGCAAAGTCAACGGGAAAGCCGGCAGCAAGTCGTACGTTGCTCACACTCCCGCTGCTTTTTTGCCCTTGGTCATTCTGTTTCTGTTTAGGTAAGGAAATATCTTTGAAATGATGACCCATCGGGTCACGGGTTGCGTAGTGTATATTAAATCCACATAAATCATCTTAGGTTCCATTTAAATTAGCCACGGGAAAAGCTTTGAATCTTATAATAAAGACATTTAAAGACTTCTTAACCAGAATGTATTGATGTTTCTTGGCAAGCATTCAAATGAGCACTTAGTCATTATTGTTACACTGAAATGCAAAGCTGTCCCAAGCACATATTCCATCAAATAGGTAACAATGTAGGAAGAAACCTCCTTCACTGTTATTATCTGCAGTTGCTAAAGAAATCCAAATGAGAAAAATTTTGAACCATGCAGAGTGAGACAAGGCTGTTTATCAGTGTTTTTCAAACTTGGCAACTTTAAGATCTGTGGACTTTAACTCCCAGAATTCCCCAGGATGCTGGCTGGGGAATTCTGGGAGTTGAACTCCACACATCTTAAAGTTGCCAAGTCTGAAAAACACTGCTGTATACTCTCTCATTTATTCAACATATATGCTGAAAATATATTGAGGGCAGCTAGATTGGAAGAAAATTAGCATGCTTTTAGACCTGCAGGAAGAAGCATCAATAACCTGTCTATGCTGATGACATTACTCTGAGAGGTGAAAATGCAAATGACCTGCAAGCTCTAGTAATGAAAATCAAGGAGCACAGTGAAAAAATTGACATAATGACAACAAATACAGCAACCAGCCTAAGAACTGACAATTAAGACATAGAAGTAGCAGATAGCCTTTGCCTTTTAGGATTGACTATCAACAGTAAAAGAATTAGTAGTCAAGAAATAACAGTACTGTACTTGGTATGGAAGCAATGAAGGCCTTGGAAAAGATATTTGGAAGCTGTAACACATACAGTATATATCTGCAAAGATCAGAATCACGTAGGCAATGGTTTTCCTTTCCCTGTGTGGAAGAGGAAGTTGGACTTTCAAGAAGCAGGATAAAAAGAGTTTTGATGCCTTTGAACTTTGGGGTTGAAGAAGACTCCTGAGCATAACATGGATACCCAAAAAAGTAAACAAACAGATCATGGAACAAATCAGTCCAGAGGTCTTGCTCTAGACGCAAATGACCAAGGTCAAATGATCATATTTTGGAGATATAGAGGTAGTCCTTGAGATATGACCATTTGTTCAGCAACCATTTGAAGTTATGATGGTGCTGAACGAAGGGATTTATGACCAGTCCTCGAAGTTCTGGCCACTACAACGCCCACAGAGTCACGTGAACAAAATTCGGGTGCCTGGCAACCAGTTCACATTTATAACCAGTTGCAGCATCCTGCAGTCACATGATCGCCATTTGCACCCTTCCCTGCCAGCTTCCCCAGAGCAAAGTCAATGGAAACCCAGCAAGGAAAGTCACAAGTCGCTGAGGTAAGTCTCTCCTCTCCACCTTTCTTCACTCACATGCACTGTGCCCTCCTTCCCCTTCTCTTACACACACCCCATGCCCTCTTTCTCCAGCCTCCCTGCATTTGCACACATGTAAGGACCCTGTACCCTCTTTCCATGGCCTCCCTAAGATCGCATACTTGCATGCATATACCCCATGCCTTTTTCCCTGACTTTCCTGCAATCACACATATTCCACACCTCCTTTCCATGGCCTCCCTGCGATTGCACGGATCCTGCACCCTCTTTCCTCAGCCTCCCTGCACTCACACACATGCGGTCCCGTGCCCTCTTTCCATGGCCTACCTGCAGTCACACAAATGCATGCACCCTACATCCTCTTTCTCCTCCCTATGATTGCATGCATGCTGTGACCTCATTCCCCGGCCTTTCTGAGCTTGTGCCGCACTGAGCACCCCCTCCCCCAACTCATGTATGACCTTTACCAGGCCTCCCCCACACCCCTACAGCACCCCCCACACTCCTTACCTAGGATTCCCTCTGCTTCCTGCTTAATCACTTGGGTTACGAAGACAACTGGGACTGCCTGGATTGCTGTTGCTAAGTGATGCAGCCCTGTGACATCACAATTCATGACTGCATCGCTTAGCAATGGCAATCCCAGTCCCAATTGCAGTCGTAACTCGAGGACTACCTGTATTGTGAAGACCTAGCTTTTGCCATTATTCTTGTTCATAGTTCTAATTGGCAATATTCTTGTCCATAAAAAGGTAGAAGGGAAAAGAAGAAAAGGATGACCAGCAGCAAGGTGAATGGACTCAGTTACTGCAGCCAGAATTACACCACTGGGAGATCTGAAGGGCCAGTTTGGGGACAGCTCATCCTGGAGAAGATCTATATATGTGGTTAAGAATTAGCACTAATGCAACACACATAATCAACCTATCTTGAGCAACCTGAAGGTCAGAGCAGGTCCAGAATTCTTCTGGCCACAGGCAATCTGGGTACAAATGTGCATACTCGCCATGCAAAGACAATACCTCTCTTCTCCCAGTTGCTGCAGGAAGAAAATTGAACAGGTACAATGGGCCCTAGAGGTGATAAACTGGAGCCTTTGAAGCTGATTGTCCACAGTTGATTTAGGATATTGTTATACCTCCTGTATCCCTCAGCATAAACGTGTGAATCGTCCAGCTCATTTCTGTTCCTATTTCACCTTCACTTTGAGTCCAGGCATGCAGTTTCCTACTTCCAAAAAACACATGGGCATGTGTGGAACTAGTGTAGTATAAGAGTTAAGCTGTTGGACTGGAATTCTGTAGATCCTCAGCCATGGAAGCTCAAAGAGAGATTTTGGGCCAGTCACTATCTATCAGCCTAATCTACCTCACATAGCTGTTGCAGAGATGAAATTGGAAGAGGGAATGCTATATGAGACATCTGAGCATCTAGAGGAAAATCTAATGCAAATCCAATATGTAAATATTTTCTTTTGTGAGCAGCTATATGTAGTTAAGTTCCTTCAGCCTGAGGAGATGACCAAGCAATTACAGGAATAGAAGTCAACATAAAGTTAACTGTTACAAAGGAAGACTGTTGCAAACCAAAATGACTGCCAGTTAATAGGGAAAGAACTTGGTAAACAACTTCTGATTAATTCCCCATAATAGCAACTTAATAGTGAAATAGGGAATCTGGGAGGTTGATAAATCTGATGATTAATAAGGCAACATCCAATCACAGTTCACAGATATGAAAACTATAAGTCACAGTAAAACATGGTTTTATGCACGTTCCATTCCACTCATCTGGTTGATTATTTGTTTTGCCAAGGGGTGGCGCATAGTAGCATGGGATTATGTTACTCCATAATCCCATTATGCAGGAATTGTGTCTCCATCTATAGCCTCAACAACCCCAGGTCAGTGTAAATGACTCTGATGGGTTGGGAGGAAGAGAAGTACTGTCCGGTATATCTAGATCACAGCAGATTGGGAGAGGCTGTTTTAGAGGAAGTGGAAGATATTATTAATATCCTGATGACACAACATCCCTCTTCATTCAATCTGGATCTTAGTCTCGAAGCAAAGCAAACAAGCCTGCCATCAAATTTCCCTTACCAAAAGTAAAACAGCAAACCTAGTTAAGTACAAAATATAGTCCAAATCAATGGTATTTCCCAAGAATTAAGGCTCAGTGAAATCATCTAAATCAGGGTTCCTCAACTTCAGCAACTTTAAGATGGGTGGACTTCAACTCTCAGAATTCCCCAGCCAGCCATGATCTAAAGCATCTCTAATTTGTATCAACCCATTTACCATTTAACAAGCCCACTTAGGAGTCTGGACCATCAATAGCTTTCCTTCTCTCAAGTTGACCTTCTCCACTCTTATTGCATCCACATGTAGTCAGCCAGTGGGCACGTTTCAGGCAACTAGGCCCCTTCTGGGTAAGGACAAGCCTGAGGAGCCTGTGCTGGGTCACTGTGAGGGCTATTCTAGGCATCTGTTGGATAAAGTCACTCAGATTGTCTTTGACTTGAACTCTAGCTGGGCAAGTCCTGTAGACTGAGGCACAATCTTGCCCTGTTATCTGGGAAAAGTTTCAGCCTGGGAATGTGCATGTGTTCTTGGCTCTGTGGACTCTGCCACCTATGTTCTGGATCCACGTTCCCCTGGTTGGTCAAGTCTCCTGGGAGGTGGCCTCTGGTTGGGTCCAAGTGGTAGTAAATATCTCTTTGCAAGAGGGGGTAGTTCCATCTGATTTGAAGGAGGCAATGGTTCTTTTTAGGAAGGTTGTTGAAAAGGGGATAGGCATTCAGCTTCAAAGGGCCCTGGAGTAAGCAAATTATGTGAACCCTTTTCATTTGGGACTCAGACCAAGTTATAGTATTGAGATGTCATTGGTTGTACTTATACATCTCCACCCCTGGGAGGGTAAGTGATGCCATCAAGGTGCTTACCCAGAGCCTGGAGACCGTGAGGGTCCAGATTCAGGCTGCAGCTCAACTCTAGCAAGACAAAGTGGCTTTGGAACTGGATCTGGAGATTTTTCATCTTTAACTCTTATGGGGTAGCATTCGCCAGAGTTGTGTGCAATTTTGGAGACTTCCTGATTTCACTGCTCCTGCTTAAAGAGCAGGTGGCAGCCATGGCTAGGAGAACTTATGGACAAATCCATTTTATGCACCAGTTATGCCTGTTCCTGGACTGGGAGTTCCTACTGACTGTTATTCATACTTTAGTCACTTCTCAATTAGATTACTGCAATGCACCGATCATGGGACTGTTGAAAAACACTCAAACTTCAACTGGTCCAGAATATAGCAGCACACACTATTTGGAGCACATTGAGTTTTGCCCAGGGACACTGCTGTTGTGCAAGCTATACTGGCTTCCAGTCTGCTTCTAGATGCAATTCAAAGTGCTATTATCACCTTTAAAGACCTGCATGGACAAGGCCAGGTTATTTGCAGGACTGCCTATCTCCAAGGGTACCTGCCCATCCCTCCAGATCTGACAGGGCAGGTGTGTTCCAGGTCCTCTCTATTAAACAATGTCATCTTATGGGACCAAGGAGTTGTGCCTTCTCTGTTGTGGCACTTGCCCTATGGAATAGCCTCCCCACTGAGGTCTGGAGAACCCCAACTCACCTGGCTTTCCAGAAGGCTGTGAAGACTGGGCCAGCATATTAGATGAGCCCAATGGGGTTAGTTGGCGTGGTTGAGTTTGTTATATGTTGCCTTGGCTATTGTATTATTTGAATTCTGTTTTTTTGCTTTATTTATAGAGTTTTTATTGATTTAGTTTGTTTTTAGCTGCCCAGAGTTTGTATGTAAGATGGGCAGCTACATAAAGTTTCTAAAATAAATATTTTCCAGTTGGCCTTCAGATAACTGCCTAACAACACAGCATTAATGAGGAAGCAATATCTCAAGACTTGATTGATATAGGACTTAGTCCTCTATCATTTTATTATGGAAAATAACCAGAGATTTTGCAACATCCTGTGCATTACCTAATTTGCAATCGTCAGTCACACATTTATTATGAAATAGAGGATGTGATCTAAGGACATTTGAAACTGTCCCATAACCTCCAGTATGTCATGTTTAAAGGAGTGTGGCCCAAACCAGGAATGTTGCAGGTCCCAAAATCAAATTGCATTAAACTGATAAGCCCTTCATCTTGTTCAAAAGCTACTGTCAAACAGTACTTAACACACACACACACACACACACACAAACTAACTAGCCTCTACTTAGAAGGAACTTCATGATTGAAGTTTCCCCAATTTCATTAAATATTGTAACTGATCTAGAAAAGCTAAACAGCATTAGATTTGGTCAGTACTTGAATAGGAGATCCAAAGGCGATAGGGAAGTTGGAAAAACATCCCAGAAGACAGCCATGGCCAACCTTTTGCAGAGTTGCTGCCAAGAAAGCTACAAGGATGCATTCGTGTAGCGACCAGGACTCAACTTGAAGGAGACTTTTAGCTGCAGTGACATGTAGCACTAACTTGGACGACTGTATAAAGACAGTTGTATTACAGCATCAAGATATTTAACTTTTTAAAGACACTTCTCATGTATAATTGAACTAGACATTCACAAAATTGAAGAATATAAAAGAGATTGCAGAATAAACCTAACACTGAGTCTGCTTCAGATTGGCAACAAATGAGATACTTGGAGGCCAATGGATTAGGTGGTAACCCAGACAATCCAGTGGTCTTTACAAGGGACCCTAAAACTCACCAGCGAGTAATTCTAGAAGCAGGAATCACTGTGCTCTTTTCAACGAGGATAGATTATTAAATCACATGGATGTTGCAGATTGACTACTTTCAGAATATAACCCTAAGCACTCCATTCTGAAAATAATTTCCTGGAATATCACTGGTTGGTTTAACAAGTGTAATGATATTTCTTTTACACAATATTTAAGCAATTTTGATCTATTACAGGAAACTTGGGTGCACAATTGTTTTTATCTTCAGGGCTTTACTCCATTTATTGTAAAGGCTTCTAGAACTTCTAAGAAAGGGCGTAACAATCCTAGTCTCAAGTGCTTTAAAGCTGGAGACAACCTTAGTAGGGCACTATGAATAATACTCTATTACAATCCAATTAAAATTAAATCATTTTGATGTAATAATTATATTTATCTTCCACCAGCTAAAACACGATTCCAAATTAAACATATTTGGACAGAATTGGAACATATATACAATCTGCTTTTAAAATTGCCCCATACACATTTTATGATTCTGGGTGATTTAAATGCCAGAACTGGCCCTAATAATGAAGCATTGGTAGCCAAGTTTTCTTATTTATCTGCCAAACCTTGGGCAAGTGGAATATAAGTACTTCAAAATGCAATATAATAGTATAAGTACTTCAAAATGCAATACATGTACACACTGGAAGGGTTAGGAAATGCTTGAAGGCCCCACAGTGACAACTAGGCACGCGTTGTACATGAACACACAAAACTTTAGCTGTTGTGACTCATAGTCCAATGCAGAACATTTCATCACATACTATCACACACAATACGACCAGGGCAGGGTCACCTTGCCTTCTGTAGAGAGAAACCCACCTTTACTGAACAATTGAAGATGACCGATTTTACTCCCCAGCACTTCAGAGTCTGGGGAAATCTGCAGTGAATTCCAGGAGGACCATTATTCCCCCTCCTAAGCCCAATGGAGAAAGGAGTTCCAAATCTTTTGTGTTATATCCTGTGAATCTCAATTAAAAAACAATGCTGCTGGAAGGGTCTATAAACAACTGTGTCTTCATCTGCTCCATGCACAGAGCCACGAGGTCATGAGATAGCCCTTTCCCCATAGTAACCTGCTGAGCTGAGCATTCTTCTCTGCTATTTAATTGGCAGTTCTGCAGCCAAGCTCACAGCACAGAAATTATCAGAGGTTAGAATTCCCCTTTCTGCATTAATGTGCAGCCAAAGTGTTTAGTAGCTTTAAAAGAGATCTGGAAATAGCGTATTTGGAAGCAGCAGTTCTGGGTCATGAACATTCTTTTTCCATCATCCTTACTCCATGTCAAACAAAGATTTGTTATGAAGCCCAGAGTGCATACCCACAGGAGAGACTCTAGCTGTGTGTCAGCAGCAAAATGCAGCAGAGAAGACATGCCTCTCACAGCTTGAAGGTACAGCATCCACCTACTGGTAAATTAAGCTGCTTTTAAAAATATAGCTGTTGGCAGCTCTACCTGCAGGTGGCTGATAGATTCCCCAGACCTGAAAAAAGTTAGAAAGATGATCAGATTTTAGGATACCTCATCAAAAGTTAAAAAGAGTAGATCACTATCCAAAAAGATTAATTTAAAAATAAAGCATGAAGAGAACATATGAATGGGTGAAAATTTAACCTTTGTTGCTATACTGAATAGGAGGTAAAAGGAGGTGACAATAACAGGTTCCACTGGAATGTGTAGAGAAAGCCACCCTAATCTATTTTATGGTTTATATGTCATGGTGGCATGACAATCCTTTCCTATCAAGCTTTAGATCAAGAAAGAAAAGGAACATTTCCAGTTTGCCCAAGCTATGAGATCATATCACATTAATACATTGTCACTTTCAGAGTTATGGAGCTTAGTTGGACTTTACAACCTTGCCCAGATGTCAACATTCAGTGGTGAAAGTATCAAAAGGAGTCCAATCTTTGAACTTGCAGGAATAGCTAAGCATATCTACATCTGAAAGAACTATTTTCTAAAAGGGCAAGTTCTCTCTCCCCTGCCTCTTTTTAAAGACTGCAACAACATGTTTGAAGTGGCTCCCTCTTTGACAAAGCTTACACCTGCAGAAGTAATATTCACAACATGAAAATCCTCATATATAAGAAACCACTTGCATTCTCAGGCTTTTTTCAATCAAGATCACAACAACATAGCTTGCCTTTCTTTACCCAGGGAAGGATACACCTTATAACCGGGGAAACCTTTTTGGATGATGGATCAGTCGCATATCATACTGAATGTGTTGGAGGCCATATGTAAGCAGAAAATGGGGAAGATGGATGCGTTCATCAGAGTAAAACATCTTTTTACAAGTAAATTTCCCTTCTACCAATAATCTACCCTCCCATCTTATCCAGTAAGTTTAGTATTAATTGAAAAAGTGAGAGCAGCTGAAAAGAGAAAGATAATGACAAGTTCACAAAATTGAAACTGGCATTAATATTGTATGGGGAAACTTAAGAAGCTACATCAAGACAAAAAAGAGACTCAGCAGGAAAGAATCAACAAGGTTTAGACATCAAACCACAACTGAGCTTTTCCCCCAGAACTGTGTTACAGGCCATGATGAATAAGTAAGAAAGAGGTGAGAGCAACAAATTCATTTCATGGGGTAGTATACAAATTTCTGTAATAAATACATATACAAATACATTTAGGCAGAAAAATAAATAAAAAACCAGAGAAAAGATTAGCAGGAGACTGTAAAAGGACAGAATAGCTGTTATTTTATTAAAACCCATCCTGTCAGGAGAAACTCAACAAAGCTATAGTCTCACCATCCCACTTCATCCTCACAACCACTGAGTAAGGTTGAAAAATAGGGATCCAAGGCCCCAGATGCATTGGGTCAGGCACTGATTTGCAGACCTTACAGTGAAAGGTGGGAATAGGGAAATCAGCTGCTGCTTCTTGTAACAATGATTAGCAGGGTGTGCAAGTTTTCAGTCCAGGAGTTATGCACAACTTTTAAGTAGCATGAGGAAGGGGGGCAGGCAAGGAAGAAAAAGATATGTGGGGAAAATTTGATAGGGTATAAGATGCAAATTAAAACTGATTTCATATAGATTTAAATAACATGACATGACATTAAATACAATTAATATTACTCCTCCATGTGGATTTAATAATTTCCCCTTTTATCACATTAAAACTGAAATTCAGTGGGGCCCCTGAGAGGCTCAGGTTTTACCAACTTGATATATACAAATAAGCAGTAACTGAATTATTGGGAAGGCTAATTAGTTACATCTATTTCCTATACATTAGAGTTACACCTCTATCTTTCATAATAAATTGTAAAATAAGTTCTTTAGTCTCACTGAATCATATCATCCCCCAACCTTTGTAAGAGAAAGCTAACAAATAGCTCCTACTCACCTATACTGAACATAAGGAGATAAAAGAATGCACAGGCTGCACTACTTTTACAACACAACCTAGACAACAGAGGGAAACATTTTCTCTGCAAAAGTCTTGCTGCTCAGCCTATGCACTTCATGGTTCCTCAGTTTCCAAAGCAATCACTAGCAAAACAATAATCATCTACCACTAACACTCCCCAATTGCTACCAAATGATACAAATACTAAAATGGTTACACCTCCCCCCACCCCCCAGTACTTGCAATTCAGCTCATCTTACCTAGAATACTTAACCTGGCCTCAGCGATGGGTAGACTTTGAAAGAAGCATGAGGTTGAATTCAACAGGCAACTAGTGTAAGTACAGCCACCACTCCACCCACCTCAGCCTGATGCTTCCTGTTTTCCTCATACCTGAGCGAGTGGGAGGAGTCTACACTGTAAGCATCACTAGCTTGCTGCAATCAGAGCTTCTGGGAAAAACAGAAATCCACCCAGGCTTTCTTTCATTATCAACCTTACTGAGTGCCTCTATTTCAGCTGGTTGTCACTTCAACTGTTTGTTCTGCTCTTTTCATGCATAAGGGGAGTGATCAGACCTGAATTGGTTGTTCAAGTGACCATTTACTGGTACTGTAATGCAGTGTTCCTCAACCTTGGGAACTTTAAGATGTGTGGACTTCAACTCCCAGAATTCCCCAGCCAGCCAAGAGTGAGATACTCATGGATAAGCCCATCTGCAGAGAAGTAGACCCTTGAATTTTTAACCAAAATACCATGAAATATGTGGGTTGGCTTATCTGCAGGTGGCACATTTTTCATGTTACTTTGGTTAAAAATTCAAGGGTCAGTTTATCCGTGGATGGGCTTATACATGAGTATATATGGTATGAGAATTGTTTCCAGCAGTGTTTCTCAACCTTAGCAACTATAACTTTACTTGTTTTTCAGTGTAATGTACCACATAATTTGCCAACAATTTTCCAATGTACTATACCACTGCAGCGCACATAGAAGACAGAGCTTCAATTAAATCATCATGGCTACCATCTTGACTTTGTTGACCACATCCTGTGGACCCCTGAGCATAATTAACATGTTTTTTATTTTTAAAATAAATAATCAGGTGCCAGCAAGAGGACTACACATTCATTTTGGACATGTTTATTCAAAAGTAAGCACTGTCTTATACAGTGAGATTTCATCCTCCTTTAAACATTTTCAGCAGCTCTGGGAGAAATGATAAAATTGTCATAGAAGACATACAATGGCTCTACAACTAGAATGACTTGCAAGCTATAGAGAAAAGAAGCACCTCCAGTATTTTATTAATCTTTCCTAGAGAGACTATTTGCTATCCTGACTCAACCGTATTTTGTGCCTACGTGTGCTGAAAGAGCGCACAGCAGTTCTGTTCCTTCCAACAGATTTTCTTGCTGTCAGAAAAAAAAAAACTGGATGCAACAGAGGGAAAATACAGATTGATTACCGATGTATCTCACTGGGGTCTGGACCCCTTCATAAAGCTCTGTGAATAAAGCAGGTTAAAGTAAAAGGCTTCTGCTACTGCTACTAAATATTTAACCCTGAAGAGAAAGGATTTCACCACAAGATGGCAATCATTCATTTGTATTTAGCCTTTGCAGTTCTTTAATCCCATTTGTTACAGGTTCTCCTTCTCCATACTCAGATAAATGCATTCAATATAAAAAAATTAGATACAGAGATAGGGTAGGTTCATGCTATGCCATAATATGACTTGTTTTTCGGCTTAGCATCTTGTGTGAACTTAACTGGTGATCTATTTTTTGCATGAACTCCGGTTGGCTGGATCTTTACAGCATTATAAATCAAACAGAAATATATGAGGAGTGTATTCACAGAACAAGCCAATATTATAACAGCTTAACCCTGGTTTACCGAATAAAACATGATAAGCTGAGTCACTGCAGCTTGCTAAACTGCAGACTATGGTTTATAAACCATACTGCATTTGAAGGGTAATAGGTGAATTAGACAAAATGTAGACTTTATTAGCTTTCTGAGTAATGGTGCTAATTATGTGAGGAATGTGACTAACTCATTCCCCCAAAAACATATTTCTACACTGAATTAGTTTTCAGATTTCTTCCTCACAAGGATATCCTTGTTCCATTTATTATATGGGAAATAACTGCCAAATGAATAACACAATTCAAATATAATGTTAGGCAGAAGTAAACATTTTTGTACACCAATTCCAATTCATTACAGTATTACTCAGAAGTCCAAGTGATTCTATTTACTCTCAAGGAAATGAGCCTAGGATCGTAGTTTGACCTATCTAAACGTAACCAGCCATGAATATCTACTTGAACCCAAAGCTCACCATGTACTTTGTTCTTTCAAATAGCAATTGTAGCAATTCCCAGTTAATATCTTATTGTGATAAGATTTCAAAATATATATTACTGATGTTCTGCTTATGTATATTTTCAGAATTCAGGGATCCATGCTTTCTTCCATGTCTTTGATCCCTTTAAATTTATTCCAATTTTTCCTAAATATGATATGAGGATGGGAGTGTGTCTGTCTGTCTGAGTGATCTCTCCATGTCATCATCTCTTGTATATCCTCTGATATATTGTCCTAAAAAGACAGAGGAATTCTCTATTGTTAATGGACAAATCTGCTCTTAATATTCAGAAGCCTGTTTTATAAACCCCCCATCTATTTGCATATCCTGAAAATTACATATGTACTGTATATATAAATAAAGGATTGGAATAGGATAACCACAGAATAATGCCTATT